CCTCTACCCAAACTACCCTGGAATATCAGGGCAGGGGGTGAAATTAAACGTTAAGATTTACAGATAAACTTACAAAGATCAGAGATTGCAGAGATCTTCTGAACCCTGACCTAGAGAGCTACAAGGTACAGGGATACCCACAAAGAATGGAACTGTAAAGACGACCTGAAACTCCTTAAATATGAAGATCTCAAGGTTAAATTGAGACTTTTGCCTTGAATTTAGTTTTTATATAACATATTTAATGATTTCACACAAAAAGAAACAATTTAACAGCTGCAGGGAATCATGAATATTAGGAAACAGCAAAAGTCGTCTCTGAAGGTTCATCTATTGGGGTTAACCATGTATACCAAGTAACCACCATCAATGATCAAAATCTAATCAAAATTTTAAATAAAAACGTGTATCTAAATGGGTTACAAAAAATAACAGCAACTTATATGCTCTATGGATGAAATTAAGAAATATCAAATTAGAATAAATAATTTTAAAATTATAAGATTTAGGTTTATACAATTCAGAGCATTAAATTAGGCAACATGGCATTTTTACTTTTTACTCCAAATAAGGTAAAATGTCATTCCAATAAAAGGGGTTGATTTTCATGAAATACATTTTTCAATATATTTTATTAACTTAAAGAATTTTTCTGGAATACATTTATTTACTCAAGATTTGATAAAGCTTCTGCTCAAGACTCGGCTAATCATTATGATTAAAAAAATTATTCTAGAACAATAAAAGAATTAGAAAAATAAATTCGGTTTTTGTTTTTTATTTGTCTTTTTATTATTTGACTTGAAACAATTATGGTTTAAAACTGTATCTTCAAAATCTCTCTTCAAGTTTTAAAAATCAGATTTTAAAACTTGAAGAGAACAATTTGAAAGGAGATGAGCAATAATGAAAGTATATTTGACAAACCTATTAAACCTAGGAAAAAATTCTATACAATTATTAGGTTTCTATTGAGTATAAAGACATTGATATTATCGGATAGTTATTTCAAATATAAAGTCTATACTATGAGAACAAAAGTTTAACTTCAATGTTTCGCCGCCCCCCCCCCCCCCCCCCTCTTTTGAATTTAGAAAATCAAATGAGGGGCCATGGAATGGGGCCAAAATTAACAATCGAAAGAAAAACATAAAAATCGAAAAAGACCATTTTTGAAATCAAGATCAACATTTTTATCTTTTCTGATGAATATGCGATCCAAGTAATCTGTCCTGTTTCCAGATATTCATCAATCAGTATTGACATCTTAACTCATCTCAATCTAGAAACCCAGGAGGATTTAGGTGACATTTTTACAGGGGGGGATTCGTTGGATCCGCAACCTTTTGGCCTCCTGGATCCGGATCCAAGGGGTAAAATTTTAATCAAAACCTGTCACAAACGTGTTGCTCTCTAAACCCAAATCTGAACAGTTAAAAAAGAGAGATTATTAAAAATTTACTTTTTTCTGAATGGTTCATCAAGTTTTTGCATAATAATAAATGAAAAAGAAATGTTCATGCCCTGGATCCGGATCCGGCCATTTCTTTCAGAGCGGATTCAGGATCCGGATCCTCATCAAAACAAGATGGATCCTAACCACAGCTGGTGATTATACAATTTTGACAATCAATCGAAGTTTTTTTTAATAAATTTATATTAGACCTACAGGACGTTTCGCGACCCTTCTTTTGAACAATAATAATAGGTTTTTAATACTAAGATATTTACTAGCCCACAATTCAAAATAAAAAAGAAAATTTATCGCGCATTTTTCTTTTTTAAATGATGGGGACAAAAAATGAAGAGAAGTTTTCTGACGACATTTTTTAGTTTCAACCGGCGGTAAACCTTTACTAGGGTTAAGTGTGAGGTTCAGTGGGCTCGATCGGTTCAGCCGTTTAGACATGACAGACAGACAAGAGCCAAATATATTATAAATTTGATCAGACAAACTTTAAAAATATCTTGTTTTCTGACTCGAGTATTTCAAACAAAACAAGATTTTAATTCATTATTCATAATTTAATTCAGATATTTACAGAAGTTGTATTAAGCATAAAGGCTAACATGGGGGGGGGGCGTCTTGAGATAAGAATTTCGAAATAATTTTTAATAACAATATGCATTACAAATGGTAAATTTATAGCAACCATGACAAAAAAGTAAAGCAAGATGCACTATCCCAATCTGTTTAATGGATAAGTTTTAGGGGGGGTATTCAGGAATTTGTCCAGGGGGCGGGCTTAAATTTTATTTCCAGTTTGAGGCCTGAAAACTCCATGAAATCAATATATTTCAATGGTCCAGAGATGGAATTTAAAGAATTTGAGCCGCGGTTTAAATCCGCCAAAACCCGGTTTAAATTAAGCGCCGGCGTTGTTTTTCTCGCTTAAATGTTTAATGTTGATANAATTTTCCAGAGATGCTTAGCCCCCATAGCCCCCCCCCCCCGAATACGCCTCGAGATACCTTTTATTCAGGGTTTTTAATCATTTAATTTAGAATATAATTATAACCAAGTAGCTTGCCAAAAACTTTTAATCGCGGATATAGAACATATGTAAGGCATGTTACATCTTGTAAATACCTTTTCTTTCATTTTCTTCAATAAAAAGTGCTACCTTAATTCAACTGAAATCGATACAAATTTATTTGTCTTGGAGGAGAGAGGGGGTAGGGGGTAGAGCTTCTAGCTAATAATCAGAATTTTCAAATTTTGAAGTTTTTGTAAATTGGAAAATATTCAATTAGCTGATTTGTGCTCAAATAATTCAGGCTAATTCTTATGAAATTTTTATGAAAAGCTTACAAATTGAAATGTAATACAGCTGAAGTTGCAGCAAAGCTCAAGGGCCTATAAAATTGATATGTTTAGGAATTTGTTAAACGCAAGATAAACAATTTGATATTATTTCTATATGTATCACATCAGAAGAGGGGAAATTAAGTTTTAATGCACTTTTTAAAATGATTGGCCCCCACCCTTCCTAATTTTTAACGTTATTTACAATACATGTTTTATGCACTATAACACATTTATTTTATTTCGTTTACACACAAACTTAATGTTTAGAATAATGTGCGTGCTTCATATTCGTTTATGTATAGTAAAAAAAGAAAAAGAAAGAAGTAAAACTGTTTTAAAATTCAAAAACATTTCCAATGTTTATAGATAGAAGGTAAAAATCAGCTGCTTTCAGTTAATAATAAACATAAACAGAGAATATACTTTTTCGAACCGAGAGAAATTATAATTTTACCTTGGTCAATCAAAATATCACTTAAGAGTCACTTTGTTATTTTCACTTTAACCTCACTTAAGGTTTAATGCCCTTGATCACGAGCAAACTCGCTTCTTTCACAATATTATGGGTAGCTGACTTAGCCAGCACCTACCGGGGACTAAAGTAAAAGAAGGGATCGAAACTTAGGCGTCCATCTACACTTTAGCCTTTCCCGCCACTAGCGGCGCCTAGTGGTGGGTTCATTCATTATTATTTGTACACAGCAGCTGGACTTTACGAAGCTGCTTTTGTAAAATGTGAGGTTATAGAGGACAAAGGAAATATATTCTTTACTTTTACAAATAAAATATGTTATAAGTATCTATTCGTTTCACAATTTCTTTTTAATTTAAATTAAATAACACTTTTAGTTTGTAAAATTACTGTGTCTGTATAAAAAATAAAAATCATTTTATCAGTGCAGAGAACTGCAATTAACTGTGGAATAGGAAGACTTAAAGCGGTCGCCTCTTTTTTTCCGGAGCAGGGGGCACATTATCTGAGACAAAAAAGAAGAGGAAAAAATAAAGAAGCGAAAAAAGAAAAAAGGGGTGAAAAGAGGGAAGAAATCATTTTTTCATCGAATGTTAGGTTTAATAATATATCATTTCAAACATTTTGAGAACAGAGAAACTTTCCTTGAAATGGAACTGTTTACTGAAAGTGAAATACAAAAACAAAGAACTTGATATATTAAATCATAGATAAGAAGAAATGTCGTACTTAAAATAAGGAACAAAAACAGGTAAATTAACCAATTTAGGATTTTAGGAACAAGGTATAAAAAAAAGAAAGAACTAGGTTTAAAAAAAGGAACGTAAACAAAAAAAAAAAAGAACTACATTACGAACATCTAAAAAAGAAAAAAAATACTTGGAGTACTGGGTTTTTTAATTGGTCCTCAACGTAAGCAAACTAGGAGATATCGGCAAAATTCGATTGTAAACATTAACTTTAGGCACAAATATGTTAATTTCATTTGATAATTTTTAATCTCAAACAATCAAAGGATGGCCATTCTAGCTGTAATACTTCAAAGAGAACGAGAGTTTTTATATTTATCCAACCCTGAAGAGTTAATGGAGAGAGTTAATGTTATTAAACCCTCAATGTTTCAATCTACCGGACATTCCTATACTTTTTAGTAAAGGATATACGAGGTTTGATGACTAAACCGTAAAATTACCCAGAAGCAGTTCTGCGCCTATACATTTTTCGAAATGTGTAATCTACGATCATAAAAATAAAACAATTGTATAAACTTATTGTGAACATGAATCTACAAAATTTTAACGTTATAATTAAAAAGAATAAATTTTTAATGGATGTTTTAATGTTTATTATTTATATATAGAGTTCAAAGATTATTACAAGAACATTTTCGTGGTTTTAATCTGTATCCGAGACTCTTCTTTCTGCTTCTTTTTATATTTTTCATACAAAACTTCAACAGAGAATCCTGAACTTTTACATTGAGTAAAGTAAATTTTTAAATAATTTTAGTTGAAAACATAGAAAAGACAACAAAAATTTAAAGAATAGAAAAACAGTTTCCAGTGGCCGAATTTAAAAAATTTGAGCGGCGGTGTAAATTTAAGCCGCGGTTTAAATATGGTTGGTTCCACTTAAAATTGTATCAAACGTTTCAAGATTGAAGCCGGCGCTTAATTTAAACCGGGTTTTGGCTGATTAAAACCGCGGCTCAAATTCTATTCCATCTCAGGTCCTTTAAATCTGCATCATCAGTGGGCCTCTAAATCTTCGAAAACTATAGCATTAACAACATCAAGACCAAACCATTCGTAAAAATGTAGCTATATATTAAGGCTCTGTCATTAACTAATCTATTTTACATCAAAGGATTTTATTTTTTGTCAGTTTAAGAAAACTATTAATATTATATTTGCCCGGTATTTTTATTTCATTGAAATAATAATAATAATCTGTTTGTAAAATCAATGTAAAAGTTTCCTAGAAGAGATACGAAATATCCAATCCCAAGAATCAAGTAGGCAATAGCAATATGTTCAATACTCAGCTTTTTCTAAACAAAATAGCAATATGTTCAATACTCAGCTTTTTCTAAACAAAATAGCAATATGTTCAATACTCAGCTTTTTCTGAACAAAATAAATCTGATAAAATGGAAAGGATTTCACGTGACCTTCAACTTGAGGCACAAGCCTGATTCACAACAGTACCCTTTGGTCCTTTATTTGATAAACCATATGAAAGATATCGTCGTTTTTCTGGCAATCGAAAATAATTTTATATTCATGGATAGATAGATATAATTCCATCATTTTTGCTCAGGCAAAGGTGTAAAGGGTACCATTGTAAATCGGCAATGCTCCTCTACAAATGTAGGTCTCTTGAAATTTAACCAGTTACTTTAAGAAAATTTAAAATAAAAGAATGTAAAAAGATGGACCTGATCTGAAACTGAAAAATCAATATTCCTTGACCCACTCAGAGAATCGTAAATCTTTACAGCAAAGCCCGCCTGAAGCATACTCACCATTAAAGGAAGTATTCGCGAGAAATTAATGAAAATATTTTATGCTTAAACTTTAACCGTCAATTAATTCCACTAGTAAAATAAAACGTTTTCCAAATATTATTCCTTACTTCATTTTTGTCCAACCTCCTTTTTATTGTTCGCAAACACCTCTTTTTACCCTAGTTATAATTCTTATAAAAAGTTTGACCTGGTGGCTAATAAGGATATGCTGATTAAGTTCTTCCTCCCATTTTGATCCTTTCTGCAGAACCCAGCCAGTATAATAAGGTCTTATCACTTCCTGAAAAAAAAAGATTTTTCTTATTTGTATTTGATAGGCCGGGGGGTTATGATAACGCTTAATGTAACAATTATTTAGAATTACAGGTTTCAATCGTATAATATTGATTATCTGCATAGTAAGGTTACCTATTTTAAGTAAGATTATGGTCCCTAAAAACGGATTTCGGTCTCCGGATAATTTAACGTCAGGTTATCATGTTATCATGCCTCACCATGAAGTAATACTTAATGGTCCCTGTACCTTACTCCATTTTTAAATTGTTGCATTTAAGTAAAACAATGGTCCCTGGAATTGCTTCTAAAATTTGATACCTTACTAAAATAAAACAATGGTCCCTGGAATTGCTTCTAAAATTTGATACCTTACTAAAATAAAACAATGGTCCCTGGAATTGCTTCTAAAATTTGATACCTTACTAAAATAAAACAATGGTCCCTGGAATTGCTTCTAAAATTTGATACCTTACTAAAATAAAACAATGGTCCCTGGAATTGCTTCTAAAATTTGATACCTTACTAAAATAAAACAATGGTCCCTGGAATTGCTTCTAAAATTTGATACCTTACTAAAATAAAACAATGGTCCCTGGAATTGCTTCTAAAATTTGATACCTTACTAAAATAAAACAATGGTCCCTGGAATTGCTTCTAAAATTTGATACCTTACTAAAATAAAACAATGGTCCCTGGAATTGCTTCTAAAATTTGATACCTTACTAAAATAAAACAATGGTCCCTGGAATTGCTTCTAAAATTTGATACCTTACTAAAATAAAACAATGGTCCCTGGAATTGCTTCTAAAATTTGATACCTTACTAAAATAANTCCCAGGAGGATTCCGGTAGATATATTATCTTTGAAAAATCATATTCCCAGGAGGATTCCGGTAGATATATTATCTTTAAAAAATCGTATTCCCATGAGGATTCCGGTTGATATATTATCTTTGAAAAATGTTTCGGATAAAAGCATATATTTAATGTTAATGATTATTAGTTTTTTTCCCCACACAAACTCTGATTTTCTAATCCCCATATCTTTGTACTCCAATTTTGTATACCTTAGATATTTCGAACTATGAATTTTGTTAGATTAGACCATTTGAGTTTCTTTCCCTTGCATTGCATGATATATTTTAATATCTTTTGTATTTAAGATAACAAATGTTGTAGACCTTTGATATTTCAAACTAAGACTTCTGGCTGATTAATTAGTCAAAGTTTGAAATATCAAAGGTTTACACAATTAGGTTGCAAAGATATATGAAGATCCATTTACAATAATATGACAGATAAAATTAGTTTTTTTTAAATAAAAATGCTTCACAAAAGCCTAAGTCAAAAAAATGTTCTCTAAAAGTTTGTTTTTATTTTACTTTGAAAAATGTTTTTACTGTTTGTGACGGGACGGGACGGATTATAAAACCTTATTTTCTCTGACAACATTTTCAGTAGTGTCGATTGCATGGTCATAAGTAGGCTTCATCATGATAGCTCTAGAAAATAGAAGTATAAAACTTTAAAATAAGAACTTAGAAATTTGATTCTATAACCTGAGATTGCATGAGAAAAAGAATCCAATAAGACTAGAGCAAAGAGCCCAAGTTATCAGTAGAATACTTCCAGACCAAACTGAACAGTACAATAAGATGTTGCTGATGGCAGGTACAAAATAAGTGAAAGAATATATATTACTGTTGCTAGCTTATCATGGACAGTGTACTAAACAAAATGAGAGTGTTCTGTAAAAAAGTATAACTTACATCTGCTATCCTTTATTTTAAACCAGTCCGGCATTTCTTCAGCATTCAGCAATGCAATAGGCAACAACAGAACCATTACTCTATCCGGCTAAATTTATTGATTATCAAATAGACAATTCATAATGAAAGTAGTACCAAAAAAGACGTTGTCCTGATTATAGGCTGGACTACTTTCAATCCGAGTTTATCTGAGGGGTTACATCAATCGAACTTTCCCTATTCTGAGCTATTGAGCTCACACCGGTTACAGTACTATTATTTATTCGATCTTAGCCGCATTCACTACAGCGAATCAAACATGCTGCATTTCCCATTCCGTATCCTAGTCGCAGAACTCCCTTGTTTAATCTAGCCCACTCCTGTATGCCGAGTCCATTAGCGCCTGATCCAATCAGGGTTCAGTCATGTGTTTGATGTCTATTCTGGACCAATAGAAATAGTTTGGCGGTATCATCTATCTTTTTATCTATCTCATTATCCAATCAGAGTTATGAATCCTTGATTCGGCGCTTCAGTAAATGGAAATATTTATTTCTACTGAAACTATAGTGAGCTGTCTCCGTTTCCTATAACCTAAAGTAACCCATGGCTATTTTATTGAACCAATTTCTGAAAACCATTCACACTGGATCAAAGGAACCGCCAGGTTAAAAGTTGTGGCACTCAAATGAAATTCAATAGAAATGACTTTAATATCACCAAGGTCATTGATTATCAACGTTTTAAAATCCTAATCAAGTGTTAAGTTAAAAAAAAACATATTTTTTTTTCGCGGATTTTTAGCTTGAAAAATGCTTTATTTATTTACTATGTGACAATTAAAAAATCTTACTAATAGATCATGCTGTGTTCACATTTTTTCATAGTTTACAGAAAAGTAACAAAATCGCTATCCGATTGCTTTCAAATGCTTTTCAGACCAATTTATTGACAACTCTTGGCAAAATATTTACAACATTGAACAAGATTGTAGTTGTTATCCGAGTGATCTAACAAAACTGTATGTAAAAAGTTTTTTAACTTTAATAATTTATTTTAATTAAATTTTACAATAACATTAGTATAGTTAA